TGAAGCCAACCTTGTCCAACATGAAAATATAAAAACTAAAGTTGTCTAGAATGACACAACTTTAGTCTTTTCAATTTTCAAGGAGCAAGATGGCTACATAATTAAGCCCTAAACTCTTTCTCTTTTCAAAAGAATTGACTTAAGCATCGAAAATCCATTGGCCAAACTCCCCCCCCCCCTAATTCCATAGGCTCGTGGCTTTAGTCTTTGATCAAAGCTGTTTAATTGTTTTGTAGTTATAAATTCGTCAAGACTGAAGACAGTGGATTTTTGTTACCACAGTAACCACTGGTGTAAATATTTTATTTGATGATTGGGTTCATTCATTGTATTCTTCTAGGGTCGAGGATTGTTATTATAAAAAATCGATAAAATAATTGTTAAATCGTGATGACACATTTCTAACTGTCGAAGGATTTTGTCTCGTTACCTGATCCCGGAAACTTGCATATTGGTTATTTTTGGCATATGCCATCTCTGAGTATATACCAACTGCATTGACAATTTGAGTGTTGAAGTTAATTTCGGAGATTGCAATAATCATCGAAGGAATTGAATATGCAAAATATCCCTCATCTTTGCTTGATAAAATCTTCACCTTGTTCGACGAACTGTAAAATCTAATATTTTCCCTTGACGCAAAATATTTGCTCGACAAAGTTCCCATCGAATGTTGCCAACTAAAGTCTCTGAAAAAAAAAAAAAAAGACAAAATGTTAACCGCTTTTGCTCGATAAATTATTTTATTCTGTTAGGATAAGTAGCCTGATGAAATTTGTTTCATTAGGCAAATGGTAACTTCTAGTAGTGCGTGTCAAACAAATCAACGGTTCATCATGAAGATGCTAATTGTTACCCAAACTGATGATTAGTTTGACACATATAAATGGTTAAACAATCTCCAATTCAGATAATTTTGGTAGATTTGGTCTTTAGATAATGATAAAGAAAATGAGCCGTTTCGATTATGATGTCCATATAGTGAAAATATGTTAATAATAAGTAGGAAGACAAGTAGGTTCCCCTATGAGAGGAACACAACATTATTGATTATAGTCACAGAACATGATTTTTGTCGAGACTCATTATGCACCATATCCCCAAGTTGGACAGTTTTCTAATCATCAATAAATATCGTACTTTTCCTCAAAAAAAGAAATAATTTTTATCTTAAATCACAATATAACACAATGCACTCATAACACACAAAAATAATGAAAAGACATGTTTATGCAAACATATCATATTGTGACTTGTCTGAAAAGAACGAATGAACCCTACATATGAGAAGGAAAGTATTTTCCTTCAGTCTTACACTCAATTATTACACATCCACGTGTCGTAAGTCTTCATTCAGTGTATTTTAGAGGGGATACATCAATTTCTCCATCAATGAGAAGGTGAGACATACAATGCGAGCATTTGATGAAGACCTCAAAACCATTGATGGGATTCCATACTCCATTGATGAGCTTGTGAATCAACATAGTGACATGAGAAAAACGAATGCTGCCATGAAAAATCTTGTATGTTTGGGGATGAATGGGGCTAAAGATTTGAGGTTGGACGTTTTGTTTGAATAAAATAATGACAAGTGTAAATTATTGGGCATATAGTATAATATTAATAAGTTGAAACAATAAAAATTATTGAATCCCATGTAAATTGTTAATGCCCTCTAGAGCTGACATGGGCGCATGGACAACACTTATCTACTACCACTTGGAATTGAAATACAACATCAGATGCTCTTATGGTAGGATCCCACATCCAATTGCATGAATCATAAATAATTAAGCTCATGAGGATTCTCCACGTGTGATTGCCTAAATGACCTGACGGTGAGCTAGTGGACAAGGTCCAAATTTTAATAAAGATCTTCAAAGGACAATGTAATTGACTGATCAGACCACGTATAAACTTCAACGATTTGCCATGCCAAATATCATAAAACTGTCCAGAGGGTTTTTAGCATTCGTGAAATATAAGTTGGTACGCAAAAACATAATACATAATACAAATAATTTTTTTTTTTTTTGGTAAATCTCTTTCATATGTATTATATAGACCTAATAATTTTTTACACGATTCGTTAATAAGACATGTAAATGATACGAAAATAATGGATTTCAGGTCATTATCGGATCACACAATAAGAACCCGCTAATAACGAGTTCTTAACAGGTTTACACGAAAGTGACACTTGAGTAACCTATTTCGACACATTAAGAAAAAAAAAGTTATTTTGATGATTTTAATTTTTTAAACTACTAAAAAAACTTACTATAAATACAATAATCATTGTGTATATGTATATATTATATATTAAATATGTTTTTACCAATAAATATTGTATTATTATTCTATATAAATATAAATTTAAATTTTATTTATTTATTTATTTTAAAAATATACTAAAGGCAAGGAGTGAGATTAAAAAAATTATAAAACATAGTAAAATAAAAGTATTAAGTAATTTAAAAATGCCAAACACTTTGAAAAAAAATTATAATAATTAATTTACGAATGCGAAAAATGTGAAAAAATATGCAATGGCTCATGATTGCATCCTCTACGCTATGAGTATGGGTACAACGCCGTTTGAATTTTAAAACCATACAAACCCTCATGAATAGTATTTTTAAGGGAGTTCAAAATAAATGAAAATCATAATCATTAATGTACAAGTCTAAAAAATGTGAAAGCATATATAAACATGCAAGGTTCGTCAACCTTGGAATGCAACTCTCTTCATTTTGTATATCCTTGAACATTTGATATTTTATAGTAATGTATTAACGTTTTTTCATTAGGCTCTTATTTTGAAGTATATAATACTTAAAAGATAAATGTTTTTTTATATTTTATTTTATGTTTTGGAGTAATATTTATGTGGCAATGTGGTATTCATATACTAATTTAGTATTATGTTTTATATTTTTTTGGTCAAATTATATTTTTCATTTTCATTATTTATTGATTTAAAAATATTTTCTTTAATGGATAATGGGTTGGGTCATATTACCTGTTTACTTTAACAGATGTTACACGACATGAACAGATGTTACACGACATGAACCGTTAAGATATTGAGTATGACAAAAAGACGACACGAACACAAAAAACACGACACGAATGTCAGATCTAGTATTATAACATTTAATATATCGATCTATGTTGGGGATGAACTGAAAAATGGAAATGGATCCTCTCCGGATCTCTTCCACCAAATCCTCCTCATCAAACAATCGGGGACCTTGAAATTTGATCCAACAGCTAAAAACGCAGGCCTACTTTAAAAATTATAATAACTTTAACTGTTTAATCAAATTTTAAGGCCTGGTAGAAGGGATCCAAAGAGGATCCCTTCCCTGAAAAATTTCTCGCAACCTATCATGTTGATAAAGTTTTGGATTTGTCAATTTATTACACCAACTTTTCCGGCCAAAAGAAACTTAATGATACTTTCCTTTTGTTAGTTCAGTAAGGGGGCAATTTCTTTGTTATGTTTTACGTTACGTGACAATGTTAATATTACAACTAGAAAATTACTCATCTTTCATGCTTATATACCAGCCAAAATTCATTTACATTATGTAAAATTATATTATATAAAAAATTATCATACTTCAGTGCCACTACACTGAAAATTACTCATTTTATATTATCATACTAACCATCCATTATATGTGAACAAAAATCTACAAGATGAATCATTTAGAATGATAAACTAATAACATATTAAGCCAAATCATTTGAGAGAGTGGAACATTTTCCTTGTACATTAATTATACCATAATCACAAATACTAATCAAGGAACTGTTCAAATCTCTCTAGCATTTACGTACCTAGGCCTCGTTTGGCAATTCGGATTGTACTGACTATTTCTGTCGGATAAGATAAGTAGCTACAGGATAGTAATGACTAAATTAGTCGGGTGTTTGGTGCAGTATCGTACTAGTGACCGTATTATTTATATTGTGTTTTGTATTATACTAGATAGAAGGAATCAAACTTAAAAATAAAAAAATTTAAAAAAAAGTGAAATCATTTTTTTGTTCCCAGATCTCTTTGCACCCCCCAAACACCCTCCCTCTCTCTCCCTTCTTCTTCCCCGACTGCAGAAGAATCTCAAATAATTGTTCCCCAACTCTCTCCGCCACACCCCCAAACTCCCTCCCTTTCTCTCCCATATTCTTCTTCCCCGAATAAATAATCCGGGCGTTTTGGTTGGTTTTATTAAGCGGGTGTATACCATGTTATCCTATCCGACCGGTTAAATTAATCCGGCGCTTATTTAGCACGAGTGAATGCCAAACACCTGAGTCCGTATAACTAATCCTATCTGATCTGCCAAACAAGGCCTAAGAGTAGTGGCACTAGGATCTATGATCACACACACACACACACACATATATATATATATAGAGAGAGAGAGAGAGAGAGAGAGAGAGAGAGAGAGAGAGAGAGGAAGTGTTTAAGGGACAATATTCCCATTTTTTTTCTAAAAATAGATTGGTCGTGATGTCCATATCACATCAAACTTCAATGATCCGAACCGTTTATTTTTTAAGTTGGACCTCATAGATCATTCTTACAAAATATTAGTCAAATCAGAAATATTTGAGACATCTAATTGAGTTCAAATAAATTAAAGAATACTTTGTTCTATAAGAAACAATAAAATTTTATCGTGATAATTAAATAGATAAATGGTTTAGGATTAAATTGAAGATTTGCAAGGATGATCTACGAATTGAAACTTACAACACAGATGATTCGAATTGCTGAAATTCGACATGGAGTGAGTACTACAACTATTCCCCATTTTTATTCAAAAGTAAAGATCCCTTTAGATAAATGGGCTGTAGTACGTAGTACAAATCCAATATTTTGCATGTGAATATGTGGTCATATTACACGGTACAGAGATTTCAATTTTTCCAAAAGAGATTTAAAAGGGCTCAACCCCGCTTCTCCCAAAAACATGCTTCTGACTCCAAAAGACCAAGACATCTTACAATACCACACTCCCCCAGTCAGAGTCAGTCTCCTTCCTCTCTTAAATTAACTGCAAAACAGAAGCATCCACCCCTCCACACTTTTTTGTCCTTTTCCCCAAATTTTTTTATCATTTTCCCAAATTTTTGTTCTCCAATGCATGATCCACTCACCTTCTCAAAATTTTCTTTTACTTAATTAACCCCAATAAAAAACATTTTGCATGAATGAACAGGTAACTATTACCTGGAGATCCGCACCCTAACGAAGTAAGAAGCTACCTCTCCCTTTCTCTCTTGTACTTCTCATCACTTCCCACACCAACCCTTTTAAATATAAAGCCCCTCCTTCCTCTTCTCTTTCACTTTCACTCTTCACTCTCCCACTTCACTTCCCCTATATATTTGCTTCACTTTCATTTGTTCAATACTTCCTCTCCCCTTGCACATTCATGTTCTAATTTTTCTTTCATCTGTTCTGTCGTTTATTATGTTCGTTTCGCTACGTTAAATTGATTGTCTCCATTGTCCATTTTCCTTTCGCCTTGCTGCCTTCGTCTTTCGGCTTTAGGACTAGCTCAACGCTTGAAGTATTTTGATTTGTGAGTTGTCAAGTAACAATTATTTTCTCATTTTCTTCATTTATTCATCTTCGAAAAATGAATGTGCATGATCAACATCAAAGAAAGCCTTTTCCAGTAGAGCGAAGGCCAAGAATGCTCCTCAAAGATTTCCTCTGTGAAAATTCTAACTCATGTTCTTCAAGTGGTTTCAATTCATTTCCAAGAAAATTACCAACCAACCCAAGCACTACCCCAAAAACCCTAAATTCATGTTCAGAAAATACCAATATCATTTCCAGAAAACTACTCAGAAGCAGATCAAAAGCAGCCTCTACCACAATCTCAGCATTCCACTCCCTCATGAATGCAGTCAAAAACATCCCATTTACCACGGTTAAACCTCCCTTGTTTTTAACTAGAAGCTTTTCAAGGAGGCGGCTGCAGTCAAAAGACTCAAAACAGAACTCACCAAGGTCATCAAGGAAGCAGGGTAGTCAATGTCAAGTCCAAATTACCATGAGAGTCAAAGACATCTTACGGTGGACATCGTTCCGCGATGAGAAGTTACCGCCACCTCCGCCGTTGGACTTTGTTTCTTCACCTCTGCATTGTACCACAAGCACCACCATAACAGGCTCCACCACTACATGTACTACTTGTTGTAGTAATTGCAGCAGCAACGGTTCAAGCTGGTCTGACAGTGATTTCACCTCGGAGTTTTTACCGCCTTGGGGTGGTAACTCTGACCCTGACTGTGAGGAGGATGGTAAAAAATATTCACCATGTGTCGGCAGGGATTCCATGGAGATGGACGCTACATCAGGGACAGGAAGTTACGCCGCATTGGGACCCAAGGTACTGCAAATTTTTAGTACACCGCGATCTGAATTTATATTGTGTGTCTGCTGTTGAGGATCCTTAGATGCTTGTTGACCTAAGCTTTGGCTGTACATTATGTACTTAGTGGGTCCCATCCTATAGTAAAGTAGGAAGAGTAAACAATTTTCCTCGTCTCATCATCTTTAACCAGTAATACTATGGACACTAAATATTCAAACTAAATTTAATAAATAAAATGACATGAAAAGTTGATGATTTGATTATTACTTAAGTATGGATTAACGTATTTATTTCTTATTAGTGACACATATTTAATTTGTAAATTTAGTCATAAAAAACCGAAGAAGCACCCAAAGCAAACGAAGGATAGGTGGGAGCTGGTGAAACACAAAACTCTACAAGTCTGGTCTATCTACCATTACTCTTAATCATATGAGTCATACATTCATAAGACAGTGTTCCTTAAGTTCTGTTAAACACAATTTGCATATAGACAGATGAGTGACAGCTATTAATTTTATGTAATATTTCTTGATTAGCATTATATTTAATTGTTTCTATCTCATTTTTTTGCCAAGAAGTTGCACAGTGCATATCAGACAAATACAAGTCATCATTAACTTAAAAAAAGAGTTTAGATCCCAAAGTATTTATGTTAATTGTTTACATTTAGCACTCAAATATACATTTCAAAATAACATTACAACTTTCTGCCACTATTTTTTTTTCTTTTTTGTTAACACAATTGAATATTGCGATTTAGTCATTTTTTGGGTAACAACACTTTTGTCACTTGGCAAAGGTACATTACCTAGTGACATATTTGATCAATAGAGGATTCTCCAATCTCTGTGCCTAAATTAAAGGAGTTCATCTTTACACTGAAGATTTTGTGTTTGGTAGTTTCTCTTTTTCAATATCACTTGTATAAAACGATAATGTCTACTATCAAATTCAAATTTCGTGATAAGCATTTATATTCTATCATGTACTGAATTGGATTTGGTATGTGAACATTTGCAGGCTGAGCTGCAACTGTGTGATGAAGAAGATGAGCAGCACAGCCCAATTTCAGTGCTTGGTTTTCAATTTGGGGAAGATGAAGACTCGTCATATTCAAGTACTTTTGGTCAAAGCATGGCCAATATGGAGAGTACGTGTTTTCTTCCTTCTTTCTCTCTATAACATGCGTTGAATCATTACTCATTATTCACTAGAGCTGGCTTGACATGGAAGCTAGGTTGCCATGACCAGAAAATTAAGCCAAACACTCATATTACTTCAGTCGGGATTTTCTAGGATGCTCCGGGGACTAATTAAGGACCTAATTAACTACCAAAAATCACCGTGTAATAATAAAATTTTCATAGTTCAGTCTAATAAACTCAATTGTACCAGTATCACATCATCACATTTCATAATTCAGATTGCTTGCACAATTTGTATTTTCTTTTCTGAAGTATGATGCTAACCCACTGTATCAAATTTTAACAGGGACAAAAGAAATGCTTATGCAGAAGATCGAGCTCTTTGAGAGTCTTGCAACAATATATCCCGTCAACTTAGACACATCAATGTCGTTCAACGAAAGAGCCAACTTTGAAGAAGATGATGAAACAGCAGAAAGGGCAATGGAGCTGTTAAACCATTGCAAAGCAAGCTGCTCAGACCTAAAGAGCTGGGAGCTGGAAATAGTGGAAGATCAACTATTGTTTGATTTTTTTAGAGAAGAAATGGGTGCACAACGAAATAAAAAAGATGATGAGTTTAATAGGGAAATGGTTAGCAAAGCAAAAGCTTGGATGAGTGGGGAGTGGGGATCACTAGAGCACAACAAGGAAGCTTGTGTGAGAGATATGCACAAAGAAGGAGGTGGAACAAGTTTGAGTTTGAGCAAGAGGAGCTGGCTTTGGAAATAGAGACTGCCTTGTCAGAGCACTTGGTGGATGAGCTTTTGCTTGATCTCTTATCGAGATAAGAACTCTACTTCTAGAGAAGGACTTATCTACATTTTCAGTATGTTATACTCTAGCGTTCTGCACCAATGATGTAATGTCATGTGTTATACTATTCTTACGGAGTATATTGCATCATTGGTCCTGTATGCTATTGAAGAACGTATCATACGTATGGTAGCGTATCGGAATGTAGGCAAGTCCCTATTCTAGTTCTAGGGGTCTACTCACTTGGTTTCAGTTAGGGCCCCGTGGATGAGGCATGTCTTATGATAACAGCCAGTCGCAGTTTCCAATAGTGGCCTTCGGCTAAGACCAAGGATGGACGGAGACAGTGGATGAGCAATTGAGAGCATTGGGTATAAAGTGACCATCTTTTCTGTGTCCCTGAGAATTTCATCATTTGTAAAGACAGGATGAAAAAGAATGTGAGAGTGAGAGGCATAACTTATGCCCCATTTTTTGTAGGGTCTGCATTTTGAACATTTGTGAAAATAAATGTGTAATAAGAATTAAATTCTCAGAAAGACTATTGATTTTAACACTCCTTCGCTAGCCTCCTACTATTCATGGGAAAGGTACATGACTAAAAATAGAGTATCAATATCGTCTAAAAATAAAAGGTAAATGATCAAAACACACTTTTTTTTTTTTTTTCTCATTCCACACACTTCTGTTTAATCATGTCTGTTTTTTTTTTATTTGATTTATTTAATCTGATGGCTAGAAATAAAAATAAATATAAAATAGGCTTAAAAAGGGTCTGCAAAAGTCAGTTCTCAATGAAAAAACATCTTCAGCATATATATGAAGCAGAAGGATTGTTTGAGGAAATGTGATTAATATTTGGGCTTTTGTTTTGCCATTGAGGATTGATGACAAGATTTAGAGGCTTCATTTTGCTAATGCTAATTTGAATGCATTTGTCCAATTAATGTCAAAAATGGGTTACAAGTATTTTTATTTGGATTTCAAGTTGAGCCCAATATTAAAGCCCAAATAACAGAGATATTTCTTTCCTTATTCATTCATTTAGTGGTTGAGAATGAATTACAGGCTCGTATTCCGCACAGTACGTTTTGAGTTCGATTCCTAGTATTGGTGAATCCTACGATGGTGGCCAAGAGGGGAGGCTAAAATCTTCTATGAGCCTTTCTGGCTCCCATAAAAGTAGATTGCTGTGGTGAAGCCACCAATTGGTCCCAAACACTTGTACTGATCAGGGCACTGTCAAAGTAACATGCATGGTTCATTCAAACATTCATTCTATCTCCTCGCAAAATTTCCTTTTTCCTTATGATTTATTCAACGCATCACATTTAATTAAAACCTAAATCCGACCACAACAGTCAGTATCTAAAAATAGCCACCTTCGTGTGCATTTTGTCCAACCAAGGATATTATTCCAAGGCTTTGGCACATAGAGAGGCAAACTGATATGTGAGAGGTACTTAGCTTCCATCCTTCACATGTTCTCACTAAATAACATCAACCATGCCAAAAACACAATCTTTAATTTTTATCGGAAAATACTAGTTTCTTATGTGTAATGAGTCATTCTCCTTACAAGCAAAAAAAATAGTTTGATACGTGTGCATAAACTTTTCTTTTTTCGTACAAAAACTTATTGTTTTGTTTTTAACAAATAATTTATAAATGTTACTTAATGCTACGGTCTAGTGGTATTCTTCTTACTTTTAGTGAGAGTTATTAGGTTCGATTCTCGTCAAAAGTAAATTCGACCTAAATTATTATGGTTATCCATTGTGAGGTTTAGCTATCTGCAAACTTATCCCCTTTTTCTAAAATTCATCTCTAAGCGAGAGCTAAGAAGAATCTGCCGGAAAAGATTTAGGGCCAATTCCTTGGGGCTTGCTGCATTTGACCATTTTGTAGGAATGGGCTACCACCGTTCTTGTGCCCCATGAAGTAAAAGGCTACATGGGATTAGGGATGGGTTTGGTATGATTATTGTACCAAAATCACCATACCAATTAGCGTAATAAATTTTTGATTTGACAAAATCTATTACCATTATCGTATCAAATTTTTGGTATACGAAGTTTCGGTATGCCAAATAGTTCGGTTGACATGACATCGTAATGGTAATTGCCACATTGTTTTGTGCCACTTTTTTGGGCCAAAATTTGATTTTTTTTTCTTTTCCAAACCAATTTAAGGGCAAGACTTTTTTTTTATAACTTTATCTCATATATGGTAGCCTGAATTATAAATCAAATGAAGCATCAAGATTCATGGTGGAAATTAAAGTTACAATCCAAATTGAAGTTACAAACCAAATCGAATAGAAGTTTCCAATCCAAATAGAAGTTAAAGTTTCAAACCAAAACAAAATTGAAAGTGAATCTAAACTTCAAAAAAATAAAAATATACTGTTTGTTACTTCTTAAAACATAAATTATGAATTTAGTAAAATCAAATCAATGGCCTATATTTTATTTAAAGTGTGATCAAATCTTAGAACAGCCTACCAAATTTCGGAGGCCAAACACTTCTTCAAAGGCAAGCTAAGGGTGATAAAGTAATATACAGATATATTATATAAATTATTTTTTGGTACGGCATGGTAATACCGTGGTAATGGTATTGAATACCAATATCGTACCATAAAATTTCAGTTCGGTACAATACTGTGCTATTACCGCATGGCAAAAAATCTGTATGGTACGATTGACAATTCGGTTGATATGGTAATTTGGCCAAAAAAATCCACCCCTACATGATACAGCACATGACTACAATTGTGTGCTGTGGGTTACATGTTTAATCATGCACCCGCAACCTTTTGTCCACAAGATGACATGTCTGTTTGAATCCAAAGGCTCGTATCCTTTTTTTAATTTTGAAAATGTAAAAACATATATTTTAAAAATGTGTTCCAAAAATTATATTTAAATAGATGCAAAAAGTAGTTTAATTGATTTAAACAACACACGGTAATTGATGTGTGAGTGTTGTACCATAGTATTTTTCAATACGCTAAAAAGTAATAAAATATTGGAGGAATAAAATGTAGCCTGCACCATTAGAGATGAAAAATTATAGCCTTGCACTATTCTAAAAAATTATATTTTTACTGTGACATATTTAGGAATGGTGGTTAAATATTGCCAAACTATAGGAAACAGTCTTCGCCCACTCCCCTACCATTAGTCTAGATAATAATGTATGTGTTAAAAAAAAATCATTTACACATATATGTCAAATTGTATACAATAAAACATATTTTTGAATTTTGCCACCTACCATTAGTCTAGATAACATTGTATGTGGTAAAAAAAAAATATATATATCATTTACACATATATGTCAAATTGTATACAATAAAACATATATTTGAATTTTTTTTCATATAAGTTAAATGCATTTCCTTATTGAGGTTTCTCATATAGAGAAAATTGTATCATCAAGCATAAAGCAATAAGGCTAGATTAATACTTGAAACAGAAGACTTCTTTTACCTTTTGCTAAGTATAGACAGGCCTAGTGAAAGGCAAATGTACAACTTTGATTACTTGAGACCCAATTCGTTTTGATAAAAGATGGAGAAAGAGAGATCGATGTAACAAAAAAATATATGCCCGGCCGACAGTACATAGAAACTTATGAGTCATGCAAGATAGACAGTCTTTTCTTGCGTGTGAAGTCTGAAGAGTTCACCTTTATGTACAACTGAAGCCTCCGACTATGCCTTATATATACATAAATTAATATATTGTATCTATATGTATAGATGTATCTCTCTATATATATGTATATGTATATGTATATGTATATGTGTGTCTGTATATATCGAGATACACGATGTTTATCAATAAGTATAACAAGCTAGGGTCGTAAGTTTTAAGTTTAACGAAAATTTAGTGTTTTGTTGAATTTGAACAACAAAAACAAAGACATTCACGTTGTATAACCAATTCTTGTTTTTATATGTTCATTGATACCATATGGCCTTTAGCATAAATCTATCAGCCACTCATTTTATATTATTTTGAACGGTTTTGTGATAAACACCTTCGAGCTCGACGATTTAATAAAAATAGCACATGAACTAGTAACACTTGTGTTGCACTAACACACAATAATTTTTCCCTGAGAGGATCATGAATTTCACACGTGTTGGAGAGGAATGTGGCCTATTGTATGGGTCCCCAAGATTCAAGAACATAAGGATAAGGAGGCTACACAGTGCCAAGCTTTCAACCAGCATGTTGTCGTCAATTTAGATATTTGAGATACCTTGTTCACCCTTCACCGACAGATATTTGAGTCTCACTCAAAAGGATTGTTTATGGTGTGGTTAACAACCAAAATTGTTAATCTTAATTACATGCCAATTGACTAGTATAATTAAAATTTAAGAAAATTTGGATTAAAAAACGCTTACCCGCCAATGATATGCAAAAAAGTTATGCTTCTTTTATATTTTGTTATTTTGGGAATAAGTTTATCAATTTGTGTCTTGGCAATATTGAAGAAATTTCAAATTCAATCCTTTACGGACAAGATTTAAATTTCGTACTACTTTTTTTTTTCTTAAGGTTGGAAAATATTTCATGCTCAACTCCCACTTTCCAAGGCATCTAAAATTTAAACTCAAGATTATGTTCGTATATCTTACCATCAGGTTTGTGTTTTCTAGTGACACATTAGAGGATTATGGCGTCGAAACAAGGATTGTATAGTCCCATTGATAAAGATTTCAAATCTTTTACTAAACATCATAATAGTTGATAAATGAAAAAGAAAAGGAAGAGATTTGTGTTAGCAGTTAACCTTTCTACTCTACCATAACTCAAGTTGATTAATTAGTGTGTCACCAATACCCCTAAATAACTTGGGCTATAGCTGCCTCATCTTTCACTAATCACATAAATTAGTAATTTTTCATTACAAGAGCTACTTGGTACTACGGTTTAGTAGTATTATTCTTCATTTGTAAGTGAGAGATCTTAGGTTTGATTCTCGCCAAAGGTGAATTTAAACCACATTATTACTAGCCTATTATGGAGCTTAACTCACTCCACCACTCTCTAAGTGTAAATAATATCCGTTGTTCAAAAATTACAAGAAGGGCTCGCATGTGCCCTTAAATTCAATATCTTCCGATTTTTTGAGTACAATCTGTAGGGATATGCACCCAAATTGCTTATTCTTAAGCACATCCACTCAAGGCAAAAGGGTTTAGAGACGATGAGAAAGTGGACCACTTTTGGGTCTTCTGGCAGCTTTTGACACCTCTCCCTTCTCATAGGTTGCTGTGGAATATATATGCAGGACCCAACAAAAAATATTTGTACATATATGGACGACCCAACAGCAACATTTGGTGTATAAATATGCATGTTTTTTAAATTTCACATTAATCTGGGGCCCTCGATCCTGTCTTTTCATCATTGCATGTTCTTAATTTTCGAGTTTGGATTCTCATTAGATTATCTTTACGAGGGTTTTGGAGATCTGTAAATTATGTTCGTTCACTGTACATCATGTGATCAGAAATTATTTTAAATATTTTTACTTAAA